ACGGTAATTTGGTGTGTCTCACCGGTGCCCAGGATAAAACAGCTCTACGGTAGCAGGTTGTGCCTGACACATGTATCTGAAATGGAGACATCTCTCTGTACAAGCCCTTTTTGTACATTTTATTCCATAAACTGCCCCAACTGCTGTCAGCAATTGGACGCTGGGCTAAATACACCTTTTTCTGTGCCTCACATTTAGTTTTATACTCACATTTTATATTTGCAGTATTGTTCTAACTTGGAAATGCATTTTGGAAGATCCTAGAAATCAATGTGTTTTGTTTAGCACTGCGCTCCTTAGCACTGGAATTTGGTTAAAATGCAGGATAATGACAACATCAGTCGGAGCGTTTAACAAGCACCTACTGTTCCAATGTGTTTCTTCCATAAACTTCAAAAAGCATCACTTATGTCAAGGAGAAATTATGTTGGCTTAAAGAAATTTTGCCATCTATGGCCAAGATCTTGAATTCTTGATATTGACTAGAGAGCGCAAGAATTGAGGAGCTCATTTTTAGTTCAAACACCCTTTACATACAAATTATCACAATAGTAATTAAAGGATACTAGCATACAAGGGATGTAATTTAGAGACCCATTAGATGACATTTTCTGTTTTTTCCCTCACTTTTTGTGCCTTCAGGAGTTGAACACTGAGGAGCTCATGCTGTGATAACGGCAACACTATGAAACCTGAATAAATGTTGTTTCCCGTTGTGTTGCTTCTTACATATCTGGCCATAGAATTGCAAAACATGATGCTTTAAAAGCCTAGATATAATAAATAACTCCAGATCACAAGACTTGCTACTTTTTCAATATATTCCATCTTCCTTTTGATTATACGTATTTCCTTCTCTCTCAAACTGTGCTCTTTGTTCTCCCTTTTTCCTCACTACCTCATAATCTCCTCAAGCCAGGGACTTTCCACCAGCCTGTGAATGCTGACCTGTAGAAATAACGTCTCCTTAAAAGCAGGGTGTTCTTTCATTGTAACTGCTAAATAAATTCTCTAGGAAAGCTTGTTTTGATCCACGTGGCTTCCTTGGTCATTGCTCATAAAAGAAGACGTGAAAACAAGGAAAGGCCTGTGGGCTGACAGCATGCTTGCTTGGGCCACTCACCTTATGCTGAAGGCAACTATTGTATTTTGACATGTGACTGAATGAACAACCACGCTACTGCTATGGGTTGAAGCTATAGGTGTACAACAGTAAAGAGAAATAGTAAGAGGAAAAGGGAATTTCTTCAGCTCAGCAGTGTTGGGACGGCCACTGTGCGATGTTATTGCAGCACAGTGTTACATCTATGGGTTAGGTAGAGCTGAGAGCAGCCTTCACACCAGGAGTGGACTTTATCCTGGCTACGTTTGGCCACTGAAGAGCCAGACCCTCATCTAAGTCCTGTGGCCCTTCTGGAAGGATGAACCACCCTGATGAACTTCACCTTCCAGTGACCATTCAGGAAGCTGAGGTGACGAACTCAGTGCCGCATCTGACTTCCACACAAACGTTTTCTTAGATGGCTTGTGTAGATGCATTACGAAGCTAAAACGAGATGCTGTCCTCCCTAGTCTAGTCTAATGACAGTGTGTATAAAACCTCCGTAACCTGCACTAAGTTCCTGCCTTCACTGCTGCAGTGTATGAATCCTCCTGGCACTGCATTTCTTAGGAATTCCAGAGCAGAATCCACCTCTCTACATCCTTGTGAAAAGAAGGAAAAAGGGAGGAGTTCATTTTTTGGTGTCTGAAGCCACAGTTACGCATGTTCTCTCTCATTTAGAGACCGCTAACAGCAAAGAGGACCGCAGCTCTATTAAAGGGTGTGATTGGCTTTCCAAGGACAGGCTGGCTTAGATGGCAGGCAGAAAGCATCTGAAAAAATGTATTCTTGATCTCTAAGCTGCTTAAGAAACTGTTGCTAATATATTCAAAAGCAGTCATGTTTGTATACGTGTGAAAGTGACATTGCTAATGCTGCATGATTCAGTATCAGAGGGTGTTCAAGCAGAATTTGGCTGGATTTCCTCTTATTTTATTCCCTCTTGAGCTTGGGGTTCTAGTCTTCCTCAGCTCTCACCTCTTCTACATGTTAATGGACACCAAGCTCCTCCTGTTCTCAGGCACCTCATCTGAGCTGTGCCTTAAAAGCTGGTATCTTAAAAAAAAAAAAAAAAGACAAATCCTTACAATGTAAGGAGATTTTCATGAACTTCTTTTTGGGGTGCGTTCATGTAAAAGTACTAACTTGTGATACAAGTGTTTGTTATCCAAACCAGAAAAGTGCCGGCTGGTTTTGTCTTTATTTGCCTTTCTCATTAGGTTCCAGTTTCTCATTAGGCTTCAGTTAGAGGCAGCCTAAGAAATGGCAACTTATCCTCACCGATACTGGTGGAACATGTTCATGCTGGTCTGCTATTTTCAGGGACCACTGCAGGATTATTTTTTTTAAAACTAAACTAGACATAGTTATAAGCTAAGCGTAGACAGCACCTTCCCAATTTGCGATGAGTCTCTTGAGCTATTCCTATTCCACCCGATTTACAAACTGTTATTTAATTACTGATCTAGACTGTACAGAGCAGATTCATTCATCTCCTCATATGACAGAATTATAAAACATTACAATAGGCTTAAGTGTTGTCACAGTCAATATTTCATATAATTAGTAGAGGTTGCCAAATACGTTTGGCCTTGCATTATTGATGGTTTAGTGAATAGACTGCTTTTCTGTTGAGAACATCTGTTTAAATGTAGTTCTTGCCCCAGATGAGATAGTTCAGAGCTTTCAAATAACCGTCATCCTTTTGCTAACATCAAACTGGTGCTTAAGTATCTATTCAGCTTGCATAAGAGGTCAGTTTTTTCTTTGCAACCCAACTGGCACAAAGTCTGTGACAATTTAACATCAGTGTTTATCATGTTTCCGCATCTTTAGCCCTGAAACCAAAGTTATTTAAACTCCAGATTATTTGTTGGGAAGCCTTTTTTTTTGTGCCCCAGTTTCATTTAGCAGGAAAATAAGCCCTCCTTTTAATTTCATATCATTAAGCTGAACACAGCTATCTCAAAAGTTCACTGGGATTTATTTCTGCCTGACATAGTCTTTTATTTTGAAGTGGAAAACAAGTGCAGACAAAGAACCATCTAACAAAATGGAAGGAATTGTCCCCTACCTGATTTTTTTTCTGTAATTGAAAGATAATCCTTTTAAGAGTCCTAAGTTTGACCTTTTAAATTTGTCAAAAAAAACCAAAACCCCTGACCTAAATCATTGGTGTCAATGGACAAAACTGTCCATTGGGCCCTGTGTTTCTCTGTGCATTTGGCCAAAGATATAGAGCAAACTGGTCACGTCTGGAGATATCTCCCAGGGGAGCTCTCAGACTTAAGCAGCAGTCCCTGCCTCATAAGCCCATCCAGCTGCTCTTACCTCCTCAGCTCTCTGAGCATCTCATAACCTCAGCTGGGGTTGTGCCTTGAGCAGCTAAGTGAATTCTCCAGTCTTCTGGCCCTCTCTTCGGTCTCTTGGTGCAGAGGGAGGAGGTATGGAAATACTGCAATAGCAGATATTTACCATGCTCTTTAAAAAGGGAGGAAAAAAGAAAGCAACTTGAGCAAACACATTTTTTTATGTAATTGTCTTTTAAAAAAGGAATAAAAATAAATAGCTTAGCTGTTGTTAGGCTTTGCCTAAGGGACTGCCATGAATGAGTAACACAACTGAGCATTCATTCATCAACTGTTTCTTTGCAAAACCATATGGCTCCTTGCAGGATTTCTTTAAATATTATGCATAGATATGAAATTGGTGCCTTTGTAGCTGTTAAGTCTCTTGCTTGAGGCTCATTTTGAAATACTGTTTCTAAATAGTAAAACAGTGTTAATATGGCAAGCAATAGCCTAATAGAAAGCAGTTTCAAACAAATTAAGAAATGAAATAGAAAAATAAGAAATCTTGAAGGAATAAACTCATCTAAACTTTAAAGATTGACTATGCCATTGTATGTGATTTTCACATGAACCATAGGACATTCATTTCACTAGATGGAAGGCAATGAGAAAAAGAAACATTATTTTGAATGTCTTCGGCTTCATGTATAAATTCAGAAACAACAGAATCTCTGCAAAATACTTACATTAATTTACTGCAGTCTGAAATACAGTTCATTGCTTATAAAAGGTGTTCAAGGACGTCTTTTTCTGTCAGAGAAACCAGTACATCCAGCTTCAACGAGAATTCATGTATGTTGCTTTCCGTACATGCCTTAACAGCGGCGTTGGGCAGGTGCCTGGCCGTATTTTCATGACTGTGATGTTGACTAGTACTGGCTTTTTCAGGAGATATATGCAGTAATTATGGAATCTTCTCTCTATATTAAAAGCCTTTCATTTGGTGACTTGATTTAAATTTAACCTCATAGTTTAAAGCAGAGGTTTTCGGTCCTCCTGATTTTAAAGCATCATGGGCACTTATGGATGAAAAGAAGAAAAAACATAATAATTATAACAAACATGCACAGGGTATCACAGATCAGACTTCCAGGGTTCTTTTTCCTTTCATCTGTGAATCTCTTCCTCAGTTGTCCCTCATGACCCCTCACTGCTTGGTTCCTCACGGCTTTCACTTTATGTGTGCAGTGCGTCATCAAAGCGCCTTAGATCACTCAGTGGGTTATCACCTGCAGGGCGGTTAGATGGGTTAAACCCGCCTTTTTTCGCTGGTTGCTTTCCGCGGCCCTCGACGCCGCCAAGCGGGCGCCGGCTAACGGCAAAATGGCGCCGCGGGCAGCGAGGGGTTAACCGTCCTCCCCGCTTTAAGGCCGCCCCGCCTCCCGCTGCCGTGACGTCACTGGCGTCAGCGCGCAGGAGCGGCCGAGGCGCGGGGGGAGGCGTGAGCGGTGGTAGGTGCCGCCGCGGGGGGAGGGCAGGGATGTACCACCCCGCGCGGGGCGGCGGGGGCCGCTGAGGCGGCCCGGCGCCGTGTGCGGGCTGCGGAGATGGACCAGCGCCTCGCCGAGCTGGTGGAGGAGCTCACCGCGTCCGGGGAGCCGCAGCTGGAGCCGCGCGGGATGAGGGAGCTGAAGAAAATTTGCAAGTACGGGTCTCCCCGCGGGCTGCGCCGCTGCTCTCTCTCGGGCCCCAGCGCTGCTCCTGTCGGGGCGAGGCCGCGGAGGCTGCCCCGGGGGCTCCCGAGTGTCGTGGGGTAGCGGTGCGTTGCTTTACTGCCAGCACGGAGGCTGTTTGTTTGAAAACCAGCAAAGAAGTTTGTGTGTGTGTGTGTATGTGTGTGTGTGTGTGTGATAGCCCTCCTTAAATAAAACCTGTTGTGTTTTGTTTTCCCCCAGGTCCTCCGATGAACACCTCGGCCATGCCTATCGCCTGCTGATGACGCGGCTGAAGGAGGAGCACGCCGAGATCCGCTTCTCGGCTTTTCAGATCGTGCTCGAGTTGTTCGCCCGCTCACATCAGTTCCGGACGTTCCTTATTTCTGACTTCCAAGAGTTCCTGGAGCTCACGGTTGGGACAGACCATGAGCAGCCTCTCCCCCCGCCCAAGGAGGTGGCGCAGAAGCTGAGGCGAGCGGCCATTAAGGCCGTGCAAGACTGGCATGAGAAGTACGGCGAGGCCTACAAGAAGCTTGCTCTGGGATACCACTTTCTAAAGCAGAATAAGAAGGTATTCTGCATTTTACTTCCTTTTGCAGTTTTAGGTAATCATTTCTAGGAGACATTTAAAGTTAAATCAGTAAATCAAAGGAAAACTGTTGGAAACAATCTCTTTGAGTTGTGCCCTTCACCATGGTCTTTGAAAAGCAACCCCCAAACTTATACACTGTTCCTGGCGTTTGTGGTGATAACCCTTACATGAAGCAAACCTGTCATCTTGGAGAACAAGCTTAAAGATCTTCAAAGAAGGCCTTAACTAGTCCTAATAGATGTTTTTAAAAAACAAAACAACAACAAAAAATGCTCTTTTTCTGACTCTCGAATGCTTTACTGAAAAATGTCTTGCCTTCATCAGCTTGCCAGCAAGAACTATGTCAGAGGGAAACTTACACAGTTTACAGTAGGCAGAAGCATCTCAAAGTAGTGCTTGTCAGAATATGAGCTAAACTTTCTAGTACTGTTGAAGCAGATGACTTATTTTGAGCCAGTACTTAATTCAGAATGCGGAACCGTTTTTTGTCTTTTTATTTTCTTCATTGACTATCATATAGATGCAATTTTCGGTTTAGAGATTAAATTTGCCAAGCTTTAGTGTTCTCTTAAGTGCCAGCCAGCTAATTTGGAGTAAGGAGTAAGGGCTGCCTGAATCTCCAAAGTAAGCTGCAGCCCGACAGGCGTAGAACAGTGGGAATTATTTGTGCAAAGGGCTGAAATATAGTGGAGAGACCATAGATTGTAGAGTGGTGGTGGGGAAAATGAATTGTATTTAAAGTAATGGAATGCTAGGAGAAACCATAACACATAGGTTCATTTTAGGGGAATAGATCGCACATTGGGGGAGTTTTTTTGTTCATCTGCTAGTATGGTAGAGTTAAGTAAAACTCCCAGGTTGTACCAAGAGCTGAACTCAGTCTTTTTTCGGCGTGCAAAAGTGGTGCTCACCAAGTTTAGCTTGCGTGGTATAAGACAGACTTTCACCTACTGATGATCACCTCAAGTCCCAGAGTGTAGCCTTTTAAGAAAGGAGATGATACTTTACCTTGAGGATAGTTTCAGCTAGTAATTCTTTGGAAGTTTAAAATAGCCTCATTTCTGTACCACACTGACAAAAGCACTTGATTTTGCAAGAAATAAGAAAATTTCAGTTATAGAATGTACTTGGTTAACTTGACCTATGGCTAGTACATGTATGTATATTTCACAGAAAAGAATTCCTAGGACTAAATAGAAAGTGAGACTTATCTGTCATGCAGTGTCTGGGCACCATTACTGTATTGTGATAAACTTTCTCATCCAACAATCCAAACATGCACCAAAGGTTTCTTTTTATTGGAATATAGACGTAGTACCAGAAAGATTGTAGACATCACTAGCAGCGTGTTTCTGAGGTGTGAGTTTACTCAGCAAAATCTGTCTTGAGGTTAATGAAAGTTACCTTTTGACATTGAAAATGAAATCAGCAGAATGTAGCAGGGTGTACAGAAATGTAGCAGAGTTTTTGCTTTCTGAAGGGCTTTGCTTATGCACTAACACAATTCAATATTATTTTCCTGAAAATAGAAAAGTATTTACGTATTCAAACTCCTTTATGAATGAACTAAAAAAAAACCACTGCAAACATTCAAGAAAGAGCAACTTGACTTACTCAAATTTCTTGTTTGTATTTTAATCATAAGAAGGTAAATTGAGACTAAATTTACAACCTCTCTCTCAACACACAAATCCGAAGTTTAATTATAAAATTCAAAATTCAGTCTTGTAGTGAGTTTGGATGCCTTTTCTACTACTTCGCTTGCTTACAAAGTTGTTCAGTGATACATGTGTGCTCATAGTGATTACAAGTTTTCCTACATTTCCCACATTTCAATTTTAGATGTGGAATTCTAAGCATTTTTTTTCTGCCTTATGATTCCTTTATCAAAGCCATTGATTCTCAGCAGTTCCTTATTAGTAGAAGTAAAAATCCATTAAGAATCACTGTAGTTATTGATTCCAGGAGAAGAGATAAAAGGAAGGACTGCTGAGCTTCTAGCTGATCACTGATGTTAGAGGATTTTTCACCACAGATAAGGATCTTAGGAAATGGATTTTCTATATATTTCTTACAAAGAGTGTTGCACTTCTTTTTTTCTTTCTTTCTTTCTTCTTTTTTTTTTCCTCCTCCCTTTTCGATCTCTTTTTTAGGTGGATTTTCAAGATGTGAGTGCCAGAACCCTGGCTGAAAGGAGGAGGGAAGAGGAGAAGCAAAAACGATTGGATAACATTTACAAAGAAAAAACAAAAAGAGCTGAAAAAGAAATGGCAGGTGAATTATTTTGGTACTTCTTATTTTTGTTTGTTTGTTTGTTTTATAAAGTTACGTAAAACAAACTCACAGTACCTAACTGAGTCACAGTGGACTGTAGAAGGATGGAATACTACATATGATATGCTTGACCCTTGCCAAGTAAGGAATATTGGGGAAAACAGGTGGCAGTCCCTGTGTGCTCAGTTAGTATGGAGGGGGGAAAAAAAAAGGGAGTTACAGACCAGACCTTCATTCAGCAGTACAAATGCATGACTGTGAGAATATCAAGATGCCTTTTGGAGTCAATGGCTTAAATTCTGTGTCTGTGATTAGGCACAGACTTTTCAATAACTTGCTGACTGATGAACTGAATTATCTAGTGTACAGAGTTATCAGGGTCCAGAAGTATGGGCGCTCCTCTGTGCCAAAATCCTCCATGTGATGTAGAGGTTCAGTGAAACGTATCATGATATTGCTAAAAGGTGTGTCCATTGGAGGCTGAGTTTCTAAGCAGTAGAAAGCAACTCTATTTCTCAATATGGAAGATCAGAGAAAGTGAATATATTATATTGCAGTTGCAAAGGGCTTTTAATCAAATTTCTTTGGTTTATGCAATTATGCACGTGTGTTTGCATTTATGATGCATGCTGTCAATGCTTTTGTGCCTATGGGTGGAATATTAAAGTTTAACCTTAGTCATTTTTATTTGTAGTATCTCTCTTAGCTACAGTTTATACTCATAGGTACATCCAGAAACAACTGTAACGTGTATGGTTGTAGAATGAATGCCCACCAACATCACTAAGAATATCCTCATTGAACCTTGTTCTGTTTGAAAGTCTATGAACTGTTTAAATCATCTTTGATAAATCAATGAAATTTTAGGGAGAGTAGGAAAAGGACAAACACTATTTCTAAATTTCTTGCTCGGGAAATGCTAGATTTCTGGCTTAAGGTAGCATTGTCACTTTTATCAAGATAATTTCTGGATTGAAGTGGGTATGGACCAATATTAATGATCAATGAAAAAAATGGATTATCTCTTTGTCAGCTAGATTTGTTTTTAAGTCTATATCTGCTCCAAAGACATTAGCATTTTACATTGTCTAACGATATCCTAAAATAATTGTCTCCTAATAGAAATGTCTCAGGAGATTGCTGACACACTGACAGAGATGGAAAACTGTTTCCAGCTTCTAATGCCAGATCCCTTTGACTTCACTGTGAATGACACAGAACTGGGACCCGACAAACAAATGACGGCTAGTGAGGACAAACCTGCAGCCCCCTCGTCTTCCCGGATAGCACCTCACCCATCTTATTTTGGACATGTGGATGACGAACAACCATGCTGCAGCAAGGACCTTCTTTCTGTTTCTCAGTGTTTTCAGACTGGTAGAAATGAAGATATGAGTGAGGACCAGGAGAAGCAGGACCAAAAAGAATTAGATGGAGGCACCCACTCGGAACTTGGATCTGATGTCCCCGTTCTCAGTGATGATGATTACCAAACTTTTGTTAGGAACCATGGACTTATTTCTCATAAATATACTCTAGACCTTGAAATCTCCACAGGTACCTGGAGCAGTTTTTCACAGATAGCTAGAGAGAGTCTTTGTCTGAATTACTTGCTGCTTCTTTCTATGACTGCAATGTCTGGGGCTTCTGGGCACCATCTTGATTCTTTTTTTTGGAATTATCTTCTACTTCTGGTGCATCTAGTATTCATTCTTAGGGTTGCTCTATGTTCTTTACAGTTGATCTTTATTGATCAACTTTTAAGATTAAACTTCAATAATAGTTGTATTACAGCACTTCATGGTACTAGCAATAAGATGAGTTTCCTATCTTAAAAAAAATAGTCTGTTTATAGTTTCCTTTTCCATGTGTTTGCAACTCAGGCTTTTTCCCCTCCACATAGGGGTACAATCTTAAAATTGCTAATTTCTTCCCTTTTTTTTTTTTTTCTTCTTATTGGCAAACTGCAAAAAGCAGTAAGTAGAGTTTTGTAAGGTTCCTAGGTTCATGGTTACTTTTTATATAACTTTGCTAATGTGAGTTATCTGTAAATTACCAATTCCCAACCTACACTTATTTTTCTAAGCGGAGTGTCTTAGAAAGGTTGTTCTAATAAAATTTTATGTACAAACAGCCAGTAAGACAAGTAAGACACTTCTGTACTTGCAGGCAGCAGAATTTGAACTGCATCTGCAGAGATTAGGAATTACAAACTGGTGCAGCAAGGTGTAATGTAAATAACTCTTCACTTGCCTTTGGTTTATTTAGTGATGCCTGAGTGCTGATGGTTTAGCCATTCTTTCTGTCTTCAGGGGAATAAAAGTTTTCCACTTTTCTCCTGATTAATATTTAATACTGAATACGGTAACATTCTGATGTCTGTAACCTTCCTGAAGTGATCAAATATATGAGAAAGATTTATATATATTTTTTCCATGTATTTTCTTTAGCTCTTGTAGAAGACACTATAAATCTGTAACCATGTGCTAACCTCTTTTTTCTTTTTTTTTTTCCCCTGTTTTGAAACAATATAAAAGTACATGAGAATGAAGATAATACAGCCATAATAAACAACGTTATGGATGCACACAGACTCCTTAGAAATAAGTTTTTGCCTACTGTGCAATCCTGGATTCAGGTGAGATAGAGCTGATTTCTTCATTTCTTAAAAATGATGGAGGAGCAAGGGCTAGTAAAGCTCAAGTTCAGAGGGCAAAAAAGACAAAAAAAACAAAACAAGAAAAAACTTGAACAAGACTAAACTTGAAGCAAAGTTGTGGAAACATTGGTAGAAATAGATTAGGGTTGCTGATTTTTTTAGAGGTGGGTGAGAGGAGGGTACAGGTGCTGAATAACTTCATTGAAGACTCTCAGCATAGTAGTACAACCATAGTACCTAAATTTTTTGAGTGTCATGCTCTTGTGTGGTGTTTTTGTTGTTGTTTGTCGTGGGTTTTGTCAGATGTGCCTGTATCAGGAGATCATTTTGTCCTTTGTATTAGCTGGTATTACAGCTCAGGAATCTTGTGCATGGAATTTGGCACGCTAAATGGCTCTCTGAGGGAATTGTTTTTAGCAGCTGTTTGTTCTTTATTTGTCTTTAGTTGTTTTTGCTTGGCTTTTATATTCTAGCCGGGGAAAGATGTGGGTCCACTAATTTTTACTTTTGCAATAAAGGAATTTGAGAGTGTTGTTCCATTAAAAATGAAAGAAAAAAAGATGTATTTTTTTTGTCTGTGATGTCTAGGGAAATAGAATAAGAATGTTGATTTCTTGCTTTGCAGTTATTTACCAGAGTGGGAATAAATGATGATCGGCTAAGATGTGCCATTGATCTCAAAAATAAACTGGAGATTGCTATGAAGAAATACAAGGAAATGAACATTTCCATTAAGGAGAGGAAAAGAAAAGTGGTGAGTTTATTTTAAAACCTAGAGAGGATAGTTATTAATTTTTGGCTTGTACATAAAAAATGCACTTTCTCTTAATGCTCAATATTGCAAACTTCTCAACACAAGCTTAACCATGGTGTACTCTAATTCAGCTGGTTTTAGCTTCCTTCAGGGAAGGATAACTAAACACCCTGAGTAGTGTCTGAGGTCTAGTTATCCAGACAGCATATAAGCCAACATCGTTGTTGTTTTATATAGGGAAGTGGTTACATTCAGATTTTATTTAGCCTTCACATGAAATGTTATGTTCTCAGCTGCTTAATACTGAGTAAATATTGGTATTATTCTTGTTCTTCTACAACTTGCTGACTTCCACTAGTACCTCACAATTTGAGGAAATACTCTGCTTTAAAGCATTCGATCTCTGCAGTGAACAGGTGATGTGATTGTGCGAAATGGTCATTATACAAAGCTTTAAGTGCCAAAATATATGTCACCGATATTAGCTCCCTATGACAGTTTCTGTAAAATACATAAAACTAAACGTACTGAATTTTGAGTAGGCTGAGCCTGAAAGAACAACTGCTTTATTCACATCTACAAAAGGAGTTTATGACTCGTTTATATACTTAAGGTAGCAGAGCTGTATAACACTTATTTGTGTTTGTTGCGATTAAACAGAGTTGCTCTGTAGCTTGACATGAAAATAAATGTTTTGGGTCAAGGTCTGGAGTAAAGGCTGGCTTCTGACTACATTGCCAGAATTTGATCTGGTCATTGCCTCTTGGACTAAACTCTAGTAGCGTAGTTTAGCCGTGATTGAGTGTTTGAGACTTGCTTTCATTGTGCAAATGAACCTTTATCAAGATTAATCTGGTTCATCATCTTGATATTACTGATGTACCAGTCAGAAATGCCAACTCTGAATGAAAAGTACTGAAAGACTGTCTTGTCAGAGGTCTTTTTTCTTCAATGAAATATGCGTGCTACCTTTATGCAACCAGCTATGAAGGAATCCAGACATCTGCTGTCATTCCTGCCATTTGCTTGACAGGACTTCATTTGCTGGTCCTCTGCATGGAATATGGGTTGCTATATTTCTTGCAAGATATAAATGACATTCAAGCCTTGCTTTTTCTATGGGTGTTAGTACATGGTTAACACCTAAAACTTCACTGTCAAGAAAAAAGAAAAATACGTAACAGTGCTCAGAGAGTGCAAAATGACACAGTGCAGATCAAGATAGTAATTTATGCGTTCAAGCTATTTATATTTCTTATTTTTTTTCTTTTTGTATAAAATACCACATTTGGTTTTAATGTTGAGTTACTTTAAACTTATAACCTGAAGACAACTTTGTGCTACAGGAAGAAACTATAAAATGTTTTTTAGTCACATATGCCAGGTGACTTCATTGAAACTTAAGAACAGAGTAAAATGAGAGACCGACAGAACAAAATAAGCAGCAGTGCCTCTAGACCTTGATTATTAAAACCGCATCCATCCAATATTTATTCACGTCAACATATGAAACATTGCACCCAGCTCATCTTTAATTCAGCATTGCTGCTTGCAGTGTGAATAGTTGCTTCTGTCTATATGTGTTTGTGTCATTGGATTTGGAGTCCTTGTCATGCCAAAGTCTTGCTACATGTAACAGTATCTTCTGTATTTTTAGAGCCAAGAGAATTGCTAATAATCTCTTCTCCAGAGCAATGTCTCATGGCCATCCTGCTCTTTCAGGGCTCAGTGTATTACAAATATTATTTGTTAGCACACTTGAGTGAGTGCTCTACCTGCATGTGTGTGGAGATGAGCGTATGTAGAAAGAAAGGACAACACTTAATTGGAGCGAGGGAATAAATAAAGTGTCTGAGTGCTCAAAATCCTGTGTAAATTGGCTGGTTTGTAGTCATCTGTGACAGCCCTGGATATTCTGACTTCTGATATCAATTTTGCTTGGCAACTAGTGATAGCAGTCTGAAGTGCATATGTTGGTAACTGGAGAACGTAAAGGTGAATTGTTTGTGTACCTTAGAGCTCGTTTATTTGAGTGTCAGCGTGATCCTGCAGCATAAGTATTCCGTACTTTGAGGATGGTTTTATTTTCTTGGCAAAGATAAAACAGAAAAGTTGGAACTAGAAAATGTTGCCTGCTCAGTGTTTTCTGAATTTCTGATTTTCCTTTGTGCTGTTGTGCTCACTGTTTTGGCCCGTTTTTGTCTTTGTTCTGTGGTTTGTTTCCTTTCTGTCCTCACTCTTGCATTGGAGGTTTGATTTGGTGGGGAGGAGGAAAGGGAAAGTTTTACTTGCCACAGACTGAGATCAAGAAAGTTGAAAAGGGGAAGGTTTTAGAGAGATGTTATACAGTGGAACTAGAAGAGATTTGTTACTATTCACTGTAAGGATAATACTATATTGCTTAACTCGGGGAAGATTGGAATTGCCAGGTAGAAGAAGGAAGGTCCTGCAGTTCCTTACCATTGCCATGGGCCCTTGGTACCATCGTGCAGCTGGACTGAGCTGAGGTGCACGTGTATCTGTCTGAGATGAAAGGCGTGTACATTCTTCATGCTGTGGCATCATGTGAATGTACCAGTAAAGTAGCTGGATATAAACTATGTTAGGAGAAGGTCAGCCTGGCTTCACAGAGGAATTCTGTAGATCAGAGTTCGTTCTGCTTTTGGTAACTGCCGTCTTGATGCTTGTCATGGTCTCTCATTCCACTTTCTAGATTACGTCTACCAAGGTGTATCCTTATGCAATTACAGCATGTTAGAAAATTAACACAAAATGTTTTCTCCATCATTCTTGGCCTTATCTTTGCATAAAGAAAAAAGTACGGCCTCACTGCTTTGTGAACTACAGGAATTTATGAAAACAAAACTGTATGTAGTGAAACACTTGAACTGTGTTTTATGGTATGACATAGTTTATAGTGGTATCAGATCTAACCACCTCTTTTATCTCCATGATAGTGAAGAACTCAAACCATTAGAAAGATGTAATTAAAAGTAGGGTTGTCATTTTTATGTAACACACTGTGCTGGCTGTGACATCCTGCTCTTCTCTCTATCTGGAGCCATGCGAGGAGAGGAAAGTGTGACAAAGGTTATCCCTTGAGTGCCTAGAAACCTGTTGCTTGGGTCACATTTTATAAGAGTAATATATCCCATCCCTGTATGGGAATTAATATATCTCCCAAGCAGGTCAAAAGTTCCAACATGCTGCTTCTGCAGCTTTTATGAAAAATAAAACCAGTCCAGGACAGTCTTACTGTGTCATCCAAAGACAAGAAGGAGGTTTCATGTGCTTCAACAAGTTACTTTCACCAGAGCTAAGTGCTTGTTTGGGGAATGAGTCAGATATTTATATTCTTGATATACTTTTCCTATCAGAAACAAGCAAGAACCCGGAAATCCCTTTTTGACTGAATATAAATTTTAGCATAGTCTTGGGTCGGAGAGCCGGGGCTACAAAAGAGCTCGTATTTCCCAGAACCTGGCTGCTGGGACCAGCTGCTTTTTCCGTCCTGCTGCTCAGGATAATCCCAGTGCCCAGCAGAGGGAGTGCACACTGCGTGCCGCACACTGCGTGCCGCACACTGCGTCCCGCTCACTGCGTCCCGCTCACTGCGCGCCTCGCGCTTCGCTCTGCACCAGCTCCAGCCCAGCCCCCTGTCATCCACGTAAACCCCGTACGGCAGCACTCTGCTGGGCATACTTTAACTTAGTTCTTGGCTCTACTTAGATGAATTACTGTGGCAGTATTGTTGTAGTTATTGGCCAAGTTTGGTGTTTGTAATAGAAATTGCTATTTTCAGAGACTTAACTCTTTTGTAAGAATAAATTCTTTAGATTTGAAATGCTTCTTAAACAAACAAAAAGACTCTCTTGTCTGGAAATGGTTTCTTTTGTTCATGTTTTTCCTGTTTCTTAAAATACTAGATTTTAAATCTTTTCTGATCTTTTTGTGTCTGCTTTGCAGTTGGTTAGATCCAAATGATATTGCAATTTGAAAAGCTAAGAGGAAAAACAGGTACTTTCTTTTAGAAGTCCTGCACCTTGTTTCATATGCACTATTTCCATAAAGCAGTAGGATAATACTTAAAATTATCATGTTATTAATAGAAATGTAGCTCATTAGATTTATTTTGTATGCTGAGTGTTGTTTATTTTTTATGCAGTTGCCTCTGGGAAGCAGTAGACGGTGTAGTGCTCAAGCTAACTAAAACTTGACCAAATAGCAGGCAGTGGCAATATAATAGAAGAAACATCTAGTTCATTTGCCTGTCAAGAAAGTGATTATTTAACAGTCTTCTAACATGCTACAACTCAAGTTATAGTATCAGCCAGATATATATATCTTTCATTAACTTTCTTAATTATCTTGTGTTTCACCTTTCCTTATCTGCTGTCATATCTAAGTGTGCACTTGCATTGTGATTTATACACATGCTTAATTTTATACATGTGAACCATCTGGCTGAACTCAATAATGCCATTAATAATTAGGTGCAAAGCAGGTTCTCCTTGCCTAGTCCAGCACCTGATTCCCAGTCTGATCCCTAACACCTACTGCAATACAACTTGGTTATTATTTCCAAAAGTATAAGTTCAGTTGTCACAAATTATATTTACAAATTAAATACTTGATGATCATAGTTTTGTCTTAAAATAGCTTAATACATAAAAAGATAAAAACGTTAATATACGATAAATTAAGAGCAATATACGATAAATTAAGAGCTCTGCCAATTACTTGTGACACTATTGCTTTTTTTCTTACATTTTTTTTCCTCCTTCCTCATATCTTCAAATACAACTCAGTATTTTATAATTGCTAAGGATTTATTTCTACCTAATTATTTTTTAATTTAGCTCTTTTTAAAGTCTGTCTTTTAGTACTTGCTCAAAAAAAAAAAGGCAGCGCTTGAGTTTTCAATCAAAGTGAAGACTGTAATTTTCGTTTGTTTTTTCTGCATTCTTCTGTACCAGGGAGAATCTCATTTGGGTGCTGCT